AGGTGGTTGCACATGGGAGTTTTCTGCCAACGAATTTGTAGTTTCGAGCGAGTTGGCTCCTCGTGGGAGTGGTCTCGCTGCGGGTAGTAGTGTCGAGCGAGTGGTCTCCTCGTGGGAGTTATCTCAATGTGGTTACGTAGAGCCGAGGGATATGTCTCCTGGTAGAAGAAAACTAGCAACGGGTTATAGGACGGAGCGAGTGGTCTCCTCGTGGGGGTTGTCTCACCGACCTGTTGAGATTTGTACGAGTTTCCTCCTGGAGGGGTTGGAATCGCAATTAGTTGTATGATTTATTGATTGGACTCCTGTTCGACACGATGGTGTCGAAAATTGACCAAAAATCGACCTGAATTTGTCGAAAATTGCCGACGGGTTTCAAAAAAAAAAACTTCAAAATCGACTTCGAAGCTCAAAAAAGACATCGATACTTACCTTAATGGCTTCTCTTTCCACATATACTACCATATTATTGTCTTATAACTCCATTTTATAAGTTTTGTGAGGTTTTGATTTTTTGAATTTGGAGATGTTTTGGAGGATTTAAGAAGATGAAAAAGATAGGGTTTAATTGGGTTGTCGCGGCAGTTACGAGCACGTACGGTGGCGTTCGGCGGCGGCGGCGTCGGCGGCGGCGGCGGCGGCGGCGGCGGCGTCGGCGGCGGCGGTCAGGGTTGGAGAGGAGAAGAAATGGTGGAGGTTTTTTTTTTTTAACAACAAAGGGTTTTTTTTCTTTTTCTTTTATTTGGTTTTTGAATAGGTAATTTCTAATAAAATTTGATATAATTGATATTTTGTATGAAGGGTGTTTTTGTAATTTTCTTTTTATTTTGGTTTTAAAGTAAGAAAAAACTTATAAATATGTACTCAATTGTGGTTTTCAACTAGGTAGTATTCAACTAAGCAAAAATTAGTATTCAAAATAGTTGCCCCCTTTTATAATATACACGTAGCAGCAGAAGACCCAGCCAGTGTTTTTATTACTGGGTGTACTGTCGAAGGAGACGTATTTTTTTTTTTTAAATTATCAAATATATTATATTTTTAAAGTGAAAACGCATAATAAAGAATAAAGGAATATAATAAAAATGTGGTGGCATCTCCCTCCGATTATCTTTTACCTATAAAATTACGGCCACCTCTCCGCTTCCGCCTCCGCTCCCCAAGTAATACAGACTCTACAACACTCTGCTCACTCTCCAATACTAGGGGTTTTCTTTTCAACTCTCTCTCTCTCTCTCTCTCTCTCTCTCTCCATTGTTGAGCTTTCGTAAATTCCTCTATTGACATTCGTATATTCTACCGACGAATACGTACTGTTTGCGTATTTATACGCGTACAGTGAAATGGACGCTTATTCGCTGCATCTGGCGATGGCGGCGCTCGTCGGAGCGTCGTTTGTCGCGGTTTCCGCGTACTATATGCACAGAAAAACCCTAAACCAGTTGCTGGAGTTCGCCAAGTCGATAGAGAGGGACAGAGAAGACGCCGCCGCGGGGGAAGGCGGCGCCGACGACGACGCGGAGGAGCGTTTGAAAAAGTACCCTTCGCGGAGGCGGGGGAAGGGGAACGGGGGTTACTACCGCCGCGGTTCCGCATCGTCGCCGGATGTCACCACGTTTTCCGGCGGCGGAGAAGGTGAATTGAGAGAGAAGAGGAACGCTCCCGTGCGTGTGGATTCGATTCCGGCGGGTTTGCCGAGGCTTCATACGCTTCCCGAAGGTATGCCAATGCCGGATTTTATTTTTTATCTGTGTTTTTAGTTTTGGAGAGTAACCTGGTAGTGCAGTATCGCCAAAATTAGCTTACTTTAACAACGAACCAGTGTGCAGAGATTGTATTCCTTAATTTAACTTTCCGCAAATTCGATTCCACTTAACAGCATAACGTTCTTTTGTTTCAGACAACTGATTCACTCCCTTTGTGTCAGGACATCTTATTCGACCCACTTCACCCAAATCACCGGTCGCTAGTGCAAGTGCATTTGAAAGTCTAGAAGGTTCAGACGACGAGGATATTATGACCGATAACATCGACTCTACATATCTTCATACAAATGGAAATGAGGTAAGTAGCATGAATTGGGAATGTTTATGCATACTTAATTTTAATATTCAAGAACCATGGCATTTGTTCTGCATTCTTTCTATGTGGTTCTGTAATGTATGAGTTCTGATTGTGTTAGCATGTTTCAGAATGCGACAGATCATATCAACGCAAACGGTGAACAAGCACCGTTGGCTACGCCAAGCATGATTCGGTCCCATAGCGTCTCGGGTGACCTGCACGGGGTTCAACCTGATCCCGTAGCTGCTGATATTCTGAGAAAAGAACCGGAGCACGAGTCTTTTGTTCAATTAAAAATATCCCCCTCTGGTATTCTCCTTGTGCTCTTTGATGCATTCATTTTTGGCAGTTGCACTGCATATTAAGACATGCTCTTGATTATACAATACATATCATCCTTGTTCAAAAGGAAAACCTTTCACTAGCGATTACATTGTACTTTCACAATCTCTGTATTGGGAAGTTTTACTTTTATTTTATTACATCCATTCTTGTTGCGAGTGTGGTAGAATTATTGCATTGGGCAAATGATTTTTGTTTAACATTGTTCTTTGTGATTTATGGTAGAGATACCGTCTCCGGATGAAGTAGAGGTTTACCGTACTCTGCAAGATTGCCTTGAAATGCGGAAAAAATACGTATTTAGAGAAGCTGTTGCCCCATGGGAAAAGGAAATTTTATCCGATCCTAGTACTCCAAAACCAATCCTGAACCCATTTGATCATTACCCTGTGGCAAAATCTGATGTAAGTCTCTTAAAAAACCAAGCTTTCTATTATCTGCCTTATCTGCTTGAGTTGTTTACCCAGAATTCTCTTTATGCTTTTCGTCTGACCTATTCTGTTTCCTGTTACAATTTTGATTAATTTAATTCCAAATTCCTGCAGCATTATTTTCGGATGGAAGATGGAGTTGTTCATGTTTATTCAAATAAAGACTGTAAGTCGCAAGAGTTTATTTAATCCCCTCATCGTTGGGTTACTTCCTAATTGTATTCTCCCCTCTTATTACCACTCTTCCCTTTGTTAATAGTACTTTTTTCTTTTCGTGTAGCAAAAGAGAAACTTTTTCCGGTCGCTGATGCTACAACGTTTTTCACTGACCTGCATCATATTCTCAAGGTTATAGCAGCCGGGAACATCCGAACCCTATGCCACCACAGGCTAGTTCTTCTAGAACAGGTTGACGTGTCTTCTGATTTGAATTGTTCAATTTACTAAAGTATCTCATTTCCAGATGTCAACTCCGTTCTAATTAGCTCTTATGTGTATGGCCCCGTAGAAATTCAACCTTCATCTAATGCTCAATGCGGACAGAGAATTCCTGGCTCAAAAAAGTGCACCACATCGAGATTTCTATAATGTGAGGAAAGTCGATACACATGTTCACCACTCAGCTTGCATGAACCAGAAACATCTTTTGAGGTTTATAAAATCGAAGTTGAGGAAAGAACCAGATGAGGTAACATGTTAACTAATGTGTTTGATCTTTTTCAGCTTCTTATATAGGGAATACTTTTGCTGGAAATATTTGTCGATTATGTGCATAACAAGCTTCCATATTCGTATCAGGTTGTTATATTCCGAGATGGGACATATCTGACCTTGAAAGAAGTCTTTGAGAGCTTGGATTTAACTGGGTAATTTTCCAGCTTTTGAGGATTTTGTACTTGGGGAAAACTTTAAAAAGAGGAAAAATATTCTTGTTTTGAGTAGTTAATTATACCGACCACTATCAGTATCGTAATCATAACTCCTATTACACTTCATTCATTACTTCTCCTAATGAATTGTTGTTTTGAATCAAATTTTACAGGTATGACCTGAATGTTGATCTGTTAGACGTGCATGCTGACAAAAGCACCTTTCACCGCTTTGACAAATTTAATTTGAAATATAATCCCTGCGGTCAGAGTAGATTGAGAGAGATCTTTCTGAAACAGGACAATCTTATCCAGGGTATACATTCCATTTCTTTTCATTTCACTCCGAAAAATAGAAGATGTGAATTCCAGTCTATATGTCATGAAATTACATGTCAGCAATTAATTGGAGACAATCGTAATATGCATAGAGAGTCGTGCATAAATCATTTCAATCTCATGTCATGCACTGATTGGCTTTTTGGCTAACTTGTGTAATTTCCAACAGGTCGTTTCCTTGCTGAAGTGACTAAGCAAGTTTTTTCGGATCTGGAAACAAGTAAATATCAAGTTGGTCTTCTGATAACCTCTTTGTTAATTATTCATCACTTAAATTTTCAAAGTCAGAATTTTTATTCATTATCGGGTTTGTGCTGTGAAGAGGGTAGGCTTTGGTTGTCTAGCTCTGAATTAACATTCATTTGCCATGTTCTTGTTAATTGTATCATTATTCGCAAGAATTAATTTATTTAGTTTTTTATTTTTTTTGCTGGGGTTTAGCTGTTGCGTCCTTTTTTCCATATTTTGTTCACTCTGTATGTCTGTCTTTCAGATCTAAGAACGTATCGGATATGTTTTTCACCTTGCACGACTTCTGAAAGTCAGAAATGTTTAGTATCTATACTGTACTAATAATTGTTTAGTATTGTGCCTGCATCCAAGTAATATATCATGGTTGTTGTAACTCTGCAAGTTTTTTGCTGAAACCTTCTAATTATAGTTTCTGAGCATTGACTTGCTCTTGTGCAGATGGCTGAATATCGGATATCAATATATGGTAGAAAGATGAGTGAGTGGGACCAAATGGCAAGTTGGATAGTGAATAATGACTTGTACAGTGAGAATGTTGTATGGTTGATTCAGGTAAAAGAATAGATTTTATCCCATCCAGTTATATAATTAGTCAATGTTAGATCTTCTAATCGTTAATAATCTCATGACTAACAAATCATGTCTCGAAAAGAATGAAAAACATAACTGCAAAGATATGCTAATTATGGAACTTTCCCCTTTCACGATCGCACACCACCCTTTATGTAATACATAACTTTTTTATGTAATCACCTGAAACCGATCGAACTCTGACTATTCAAATTCTTGTTGTCTAGCTGCCAAGACTCTACAATATCTACAAGGAGATGGGAATTGTGACGTCCTTTCAGAATATCCTTGATAACATCTTTCTGCCTTTATTTGAGGTCACCATCGATCCAGATTCACATCCGCAGTTGCATGTTTTCTTAAAGCAGGTATGTTTGCTTCCTTTCTTATATAACCATTTTGTTGCAAAACATTTGTCTTTATAGTTTTTTTAAGAATTTGTTGTTATGCTCTTTTCTAGTTACCAGCACTTTGAAATGGATTGTGAACAGTGTTGGTCGGTTATATGTTTCTTCGTCGCGTAATACTGCTTAATTTTGGGGGTTCAAATCCATTTGTGTGTGTGTTGTAACCGCCATTTATAAGGCAACGAAAATAAAAACCCTTATTGCAAATATTTAATATCCACATTTCATGTTATATTTGAAATCATCTTGCATTGATTTGTTTAAACTATCTTGAACTTAACAGGTTGTTGGATTGGATCTCGTGGATGACGAAAGCAAGCCTGAAAGACGTCCAACAAAACACATGCCTACGCCGGCTCAGTGGACCAATATATTTAATCCTGCATTCTCATATTACGCATACTACTGTTATGCTAATCTCTACACCCTGAACAAGGTTTGCACCTCACAAACGCTTCACTTAATACAAGCCCAAAGGTCTTTCTCGAAAGGAAAAAACATTTTGTTTCGGATTTCATTTTTGTTTTTTTGCGAGTCGGATTTGTTACTTTAGTTTATTTTCTTTGCTATTTTCTTGGGGCAAAAGAGGACTGCATAACTTTCAGAGAGGTTCAAATCCTCCTGGAGAGTTTCTTGCTTGCTTTTCCTCTCTGCACTTATGATGTGTGGTCACAGTCATTCTATCAACTGACCTACTTGTCTATACTGCCGTCTTCTAAAGAAATTAGATGTCATGTACTTTGCAGTAAGGATGAAATTTAGCTGCTTGTTATGTTGACAATAAGAATGTAAATACTTTCTTGCCTGTAGCAGCTGTTACTATATTTGTTTTACCAGATATAAATTTCTAAAACTGTACTTGATTAGGTTCTAATCATTGATTAAGTGTGTCTGTTAGTATTTAAACTTCTCAATTTGGCATTTTCAGCTTCGGGAGTCAAAAGGTATGACCACTATAAAGTTCAGGCCCCATTCCGGAGAGGTAAACATTTCAGTTTCAAATCATCGTTTTTCTGTCATCTTTAACTAGTATCCGCTACTCTGATACCGTGACATGATCAGGCCGGTGATATAGACCATCTCGCGACAACATTTCTCACAGCTCATAATATTGCACACGGAATCAATCTGAGAAAATCGCCGGTCCTTCAATATTTGTATTACCTAGCCCAGGCAAGTAGAATGAAAGAATCCAAATAAGGTACGCAACTTATTCTACTGCAGTTTCTAATCTTTTGAATTGAATTGTGATTTCAGATTGGTCTTGCTATGTCTCCTCTGAGCAACAACTCCTTATTCCTAGACTACCATCGCAATCCGTTACCCATGTTTTTCTTACGGGGCCTCAATGTATCCCTCTCAACTGACGATCCGTTACAAATCCACTTAACAAAAGAGCCACTGGTGGAAGAATACAGTATTGCTGCTTCAGTGAGTAAAACTGTCTCTCTGTTTCTTATGCTTTACATTAAACGAGCCTCTCTGATCCTTTGTTCATTTTGTTAATGCAGGTTTGGAAGTTAAGTTCATGTGATTTGTGTGAGATTGCTCGTAATTCCGTGTATCAGTCTGGTTTTTCACATGCATTAAAGGTATACTTCTGCGTCAAGCTATATCAATTGTGTACTCGTACTGCGTTATTTCTAGTTTTAGCTCTTTCTGATTTTTTTGCTTTCAATCCCGTTTCAGTCTCACTGGATTGGAAAGCAGTATTTCAAGCGAGGACCAGACGGGAATGACATTCACAAGACAAATGTCCCTCATATAAGGCTCGAATTTCGTGAGATGGTACGTGCTTGAATTTGTTCTGGTATTTTTTTTTCCTTGCTGAGAAGTCGAAGGACAGAAAATTTCACACAACATTTTGTTACTGGTGTAGATATGGAGAGAGGAAATGCAACAGGTTTATCTGGGCAGGGCAAACTTTCCCAAGTTTATTGACCCATAACTCGCTCGGCTAACTTGCATACCAGGCGTCATCGGTACTTGAGCACAGAGGTAATAATATACTTACCTCTTAAGGCTCTACTTTTGAAAATGGGATCCATAATTCGACCAAACGATCACTGAACGAAATGAGGAGTTTCAACTTCGCAAATAGAGCTCAAAGTGGTTTTATTGTAACTGGTCTGAAGCTCGATTATATAAGAACTAACCAAATATATATAACAATATCCTAGCATATATAACAATATCCTAGCACTTAGAGCTTGGTTCGACTTTGGCTTTGATTGAAACTTACACTAAAGTATAAACACAATTTTGATAAATTTGCTTCCCCCCCCCCCCCAAACCCCCCCAGATTGAAAATTAATTTGATTTATTCCATTTTTTACATCCAGAAAATTTTACAAGGCGAACAATTGCAGGCGCGGGGGGGCAAAAAATGGCTTCCAAA